TTAAGGGGTACCACAAAACACTTTACCAAGTCGGTTCCATCTGAATGACTTAAGTAAACGACGCATGTGTCATTGGTCACGGTTCATAAAATTGTAACCAGAAAAATAGATTGCCCAGACTTGCTAGCTGCATTTTTTTTCACAATTATCATTCTGCCACCTGTTTCTCAAGACTTTTTTATTTTCCCACCCCTAAAACCAACCTGTTGAAATATTCACCTCTGTACGTAATGGATCTTAATTATCGTCAGACGCAAAATTCTGGGGATATTTTCCATGATACTATTAGATTTATCAAATAAAAAGTCTTTACAAATTAGTAAATTATGTTATTTATACTTGTGTAGGTACTACTTATGTATTTGTTTTTCTCTTATACGTTTGTAATATTATCTGCAATTCATTTGTTTTATACTTATATATACATTTCTGTCTTTCTTTCTACTAATGTTATATTTAAGTGTTTTTATATATTTTTTTTACTAAATCTTAAATGATATTGCCACTCATTAATTGGCTTAGGCTGTCAAGTGGTGTATGCTAAATAAATAAATAAAACCTGACCAGAAAATTAAATTCAGGACTTCAAAAAATTGCAAGCAATAATGCTTGCTGGTGTAATAGACATTTTGTTGACGAGAGTTAAAATCTTGTAAAGTGCAAAAAGAAAATTAGGAGTCCGCAATAATTTTATTGAATGGTAAAATCATCTCCAGACATTATACTTTGAATTTAATTTATTAATTACTTATACAGGGTGGACCAAAAGTACCGGAATAGCACTCTATCTGGGAATATTCAAGGGGTAGGGTGCAAGTAAAGCACTAGTTTAGGATTTTTCTCTGGCTATCCGATGGTGATCTTGAACTTGACGTGGACCTTCAAGGGCATATCAAGGTCACGAGACCTTTTTTAAATGGGACTCCATAATACTGACCCCGGGAAGAGCGAGCGGAAAATTTTACGTTCAGATATGACTTTGAAATGACTATGAAGGTCAAGATCGAGGTCAAATTGGTAATGTTCTCCACAATAATAGTTCTAGAATTCTTGACGGGCAGTAAACCGGTGACCTTGGATTTGACCCTTGCCCCGACTTCAAATTCCTTATCCTCCGGTCATTTCAAGGTCAAGTACAACCACGGTCGGTCGGTTATTAGAGGTTACTAAAGGCAACAGTTGGTCACTGTTGGTCATTAGTGATAACCAAAGGTAAAAGCCGGTAATTGAAGATCAACAGTGGTAACCGAGGGTAATAGACGATCTTGGGTGGACAATAGTAGTCATCGAGAGTAACAGAATAATGAACTTGACTTTGTTTTTTTATTGTATATAACCGAACCTGTTTGTTCAAATTTGGCAATTAATCTTTTCAAAGTTGTTTTATTTGGAGCGTTTCTTCTACCGAAAATTCCACGTAATTACGCACAGTCTCAGCTACTACACGCACATGTAATGAATTTTCACAATTTTCACTCGCTCAATCAACTGCGTTTCTTTTGACAAACTGTAAAATACAGCTGTCGTCTCGGAAGCATTACTACAATAAGATTTTATAAATATAGATTTACTGAATAGTTATACTTAGATACCCGATATTAATAATAAACTTCAGAATATTCAGTGCTCTACTCAATTTATTTAAATTAAGTCCACCTCTCTAATCACTCCAAATGTTTAACACATTAAACTTAGACGTATCTGTATACTGTAACTTTGGGACATTGTCAGCAGAGTACAATTCGGGTTATAACGATTGTAAATCGCACGAAATTTGCAGCCTTCTTGAATCGTCAATTAGCTTATTCAGCTAGCTCTCTAATGGTAATCCAAATAATTTGAAACTGCCTATACATATAGAAACTTGTCTCGAGGTATTGCATATTGTGTTCAACTATGTATGTCATCACCAGGCACGTCAAACACCCAAATTTATGATATGCACTACAATTTTTCTTCAATTATTATGCACGCTTAGAATCACGAACCTATAGTGATATAAAGAATCATGAGAAGAGAGGTATCTATTTTGAATTTTGTTTGACTTTCTTATAATAATAATATTTCGGGCTATGAATAGTTATTCAAACCTTAAGGTACGTATACATCCGCGCGCATTCGTTGCTTAAAGCTGTTTTACATTGACAATTGATTAATTAATTGATGAAGTCGCTTCATCAAGAAATTGGACAAGTGTAATGCACCAAATCAGCTGCCAAATAACTTCATCAATTTATTCATCAAGTTCTTGACGAATTAGAGCATGTTCTAATTTTAGTAAATTTCTTCGTGAAGTTCGGAAGTACCAACCCAACAGATTTCCAGCCTCAGATCAGTAATGAGGTTATGTTATTGGAATATGTAAATAATTGTGTGGCGTCGTGCTAGTTTTGCATTGTTTTTACTGATTTGTTATTTACAAAAACTACTATTTATATAATATGTGTCAGAACGGTACCGCTGTTGTATCACTACAATTATGAGTGGAAAGGTGACATTTTTGAATTTTATTTGCTTGTTTGATTCATTGGTAGAACTGATTCATACGTCAAAAAACTTGACAAAGTCTGTAGCAGTGTAAAACCACACTGTTTACCAATAAATTCGTGAATTAATTGATGAAGAACTTCGTCAATTTATTGATGAATAAATTGTCACTGAAAAACAGCTATTATATCTGTCGCGCGATAAAAATTACGCAGTTTTGGTGACGAGTGGTGCATCTTTGTTAATTGCAAGTTTGTGCAAAAAAAAGCAAACAACGACGTTGGTTTCACACCAACTTGTTTAAAAAAAAGCAATGGTACCGAGCTTATGATGGACTTCACAAGAAATAAGCGGTCAATATAAGAATTTTACTCGAATGTATACGCACCTTTATATGAAACAATTATATATATTATATTCGCATACTTTCTCAATTTTTTTAGGTTGACATTTTTTTTTCGAAAACGGGAATAAGGAAATATATCCTGATATATTTTTTGCGATGTCTTAAAAGATGTCTTCAATATGTCTTATTAATATTTGAAATTTTTACTTAGGATATATATCCTAAAAATTACATAGGCCGACAGAAAAAAATGTTTTTTACATAAATCCGATGTCAAAAAAGGGCACTCTGTCCTTCCAAGGCCAAAAAGCGCAACAATTCAGTTCTATTGAAAAATCTCAAGCGTGTAGTGTTTTTTAAGAATAACCTAACCTGACCTAACTAGTATAGTCTTTCCGAAGTCAGTTGGATATGTATAAAAAAACTAGCAATCAAATTCATAGGCGTCCCTAAAAAAGTTTTCTGCTAAAGGTAAAAAATTATAATAATTTAATCTATTATAGGTATGTTCATTTGACCAACAACATATTTTAATTATTTATGTCCTTAAACAGTTTTATTATATTGATGGTAAATTTCGTTTCGTTCTGTTTCAAAAGGTCTCCAAAACGCCATGTTGTAATAATATTAGTAAACCAAATATCCCTTTAATTTTTCCCCTTCGCAATTGTAATATGAATGATTAATAAAAGGGTGCCTATAATAAATTAAAATTATCCGAATCACACCAAATTCCGCATTACCGCACTGCACTGCTAAGCGACTTGTCGACAACTGAAATTTATGACGCAGTCGAGCAGAGCAACAGTGCGCATTGCTGTTTGCCCGCACGCTCATTCTTCAACTGGGCGTATACTTACATTTTTACCACCTGCACGACTTAGTTCGACCAGACCTGTATATGGGTATGGCTAAATAAATAAGGGAACAAGTTTTTTAAATATTTCAATGCTGAGTTGCTGCGTCAAAGACCGAACCTGGTACATACTGTCAACTTCTTGGTTCTTCAATTGATATCGGAAAGACTATATCAACCTAGGTTTGAGGCTGATCATAGAAGTAGTAAAACTTGGCAGGTCCCTTAAGAAGTGTTAAACCACTTCCAAAGGTTTGCTGCATGCATAGGTTGGCACTAGTTAGGTCAACTTAGACTATTCTAAAAAAAACACTACACACTTGAGATTTTTCAATAGAATTGAATTGTTCTTTTTTTGCATTTGGATGGTTAGAGTGCTCTTTTTTGACATCGGATTTATGTTGAGTGAATAAAGTAAATAGCAAAACACACTTTACACTTCATTTTTCAATATAATTGTGTTTTTGCCTTTTTTCGCCCTTTTTGCCCTAAAAAAGTCCGTCCGTCAAGTTTGGACATCAGACTCGTGCTGAGTAGCCAAAAATACGAAAAAATTAGTCATCTAGGATAAAATTGGGATAGAGTCGGTATTCTCCATATTTTCCAAAAGTAGGTATTGAGATAACTGCATATTCAATATAAACGAGACTTGTTTCTGCGAATCTAAACGATGGAAATTTTTTTGTTCAAATTTAGTTTCATCACATCAAAATCTATAAGAAATGATAGTTCTGATCTAAAAACCAAACAATACTTTTTTTGCGGCGTGAGTTATTTATGTTGGTAGGTACCTACCATTATTATTCAATTTATTTAATTTTTCAAAAAATATTGATCTCTAGACAATAGAAGAAAAAAGTTAATTTTGTTTATTTTCGATAATCAAATTAATTGTTTTCGAGAAAATCAAGTTTATTTATGAAATGCAAATGTAAAATTTAGATCGCATGTGCTTTGTAGATAGGTACTATAGTTGTTTTATCGCTTGAAAAGTTTCTGCAGAAATATTTAAAAATTAAAATAGATGGTATTGTGAAAATTTAAAAGTTTTTTCAAGATATAACAACTAAAATATAGAAATTTTTCGAAATTTTACGGTACTCTGTTTTTCTGCCTGCTACATTTCAGAAATCCCAATCAGACATGATCAGCAAAATGGACAACCCAACAATACACGTACTATCTAAAACTAGACTTGTATTTGCAATGAATGACGTCGTAGATGCTTATGTCAGTTTATACACCCTTGATCACGATCACGCATTAGAAGAAGTGGGCATAAATAAGCACATGATAAAAGCGTAGGCTTACCGGATAGGAACAGATCTTGTAGGGCTTGAACGGCTTGGCACAGAATAGCCCACGATTCGGGCTCTATGAGGCCCGAGGGACGAGCTGTCAGGAGATCTCCCAGAGACGGTCCCCCATGAAGGCGACTCTCACCGGTGGTCCTCGACCGTGACATACTGAAAAGGAGGGAATGCAATGAATTATTGTCTCATGTAAAATACGATTATGATCCAAATAGGCGAATAAGATAAAGGCATATAAAGGTTTGTTTTATAATAACATTGTTTTTACCTTCGCAGTTTCGTTCATCCACCGAAATAATCTTATCTTAAATATCATAGGATCAGTTTTTTTTTATATACATTTCGACATACCAATAAACATACATTTTTCAACAAAACGGCTACAATACAGCGTGTAACTTTGAGTGGAGGTGGTATTCATACAAAGGCTACATGTGGCCTTTAGAAACACTTAACGTAAGTTTGTTTTCTCAAATTTCGCCGTGAAAACTGATTTATTTTGTAACCTTTTTTTAGTCATTTACATATCTCGTTGCTGGACAAGCTAGTGTGTTAGTTCCTGCGCATGCACACTTGGACACTGCGGTATGCATTGTTGTCAAATAACTTAAAAGTAAATTTTACTAACAAGCAAGTTTCCATAACACCCATCATGAATGGGTTCGCCATAATTACCCAAAATGTAAACTAAAAATATGTCTAAATATAATTAATACAAAAACACATACCCAACATTTTGGACTTTGTTAAATAATTCAAAAAAATATCTTGTATTTTTGTTATTCCAACATTGACAAAGATACGCAAAAATATTTTACTGTTTTAACATTTTACTTAAGATGGTTTCTTCAGGTAGCCTTTTTCCAATGGAATTACTAAATATAAAAGCAACAAAATTATATATATATATATACATATATATATATAGGGTGTATGGTAAGTCGATGCATTCCTTGCAGGAGGTTATAGTACAAGTGATTAGTGATATATTACCTTAATATATCATATTCCGAAAACGCTTGTAAAATTTCATTAAAACATTCTGAGCGGTTTCCGCAATCTTTATAAATTTGCATTTTTTTATTAACTCTTTATCACCCTGTAAATCAGAAACTAAGCACTCTGTATAAAAAACATAAAACTTTTAGAAAAAAACTAAGTTTTGATATGACAGTATCAAAAGTGTTTAATACGACTTGATTAATGAGAATTGTTTTACTTTATCTAACCATTATTTGCTGATTTTACTAAATTTCTTTTTAAGAAGGGTATATTCGATTAGTTCTTGTAATATTACTGTTTCATAAAAGTATTAATCTAATAATAATTAAAAAAACATTTTTTTCTATAAATCCTCAATTAAACCAAATGAAGTTTGGATAAATATAGGTCTGTCTAAATATATTATATAATTAAGACAAAAACACATAGTGAAATTGATAAATAATGTAGTCATTTTTCTGTTCTAATACCAGCCTTGATAAAGACTAACGCACAAAAAAGCTGCTACAAAAAGATCTGTTTCTACAGATACGATTTTTTAGGAAAACAATTTTTGAGTTCATTTGAATTGGCTTAATATCTTTATAAAGAAAGTAAAAATACGACAGATAGCATATGTTATTTTAAAAAGAAATTTAGTAAAAGGGAAAACATTGGTTAGGCAAATAAAAAAAAACTATTTACATTAATCTAGTCAATACTTTTGACACTAACATTTTAAAATTTCATTTTTTCCTTCTTCATAGGCGAAGCGAATAAAATTTTTTAGATTGCTCATATTAAATACGACAAAAACTGATTTCTCGGAGTTGAATTGATAAAATTAGAAATTGGTGCAACAGTTCAAAACAGAATAAGAACTCTGAAATGAAATGCTACTTATTCAGTAAACATCCCTGGCAAAGGAAGATGTTGGATTTAAAGTTTAAGATTAAAGTGTAAAACTTATTTCACTACTTCATTAAATATTAAAATATTAAAATGGCTAATAGGACCTTTAACAATGCAACATCATTTCTATTAAGTGTCTCCAATTATTTATAAATATATGAATATATACGTATAAACTAAAAACTACGAGAATTTTCTGTTGAATAAAAATAAATAAATTCAGTAATAATTGAGCAATGATGAGCACTTTTATTTACGTAGTTTTTGTATTTATATAGGTATCTAAAGTTTATAATTGTATTTATATAAAGTTTATCAACATTGTATTATCTAAAATAACCTTTTAGAAAAGCTATCTAAGTTCAAAGATGGTACTGAACATTAAAATTCGAAAAGTTTCATGTCGAAGAATACAAAACTTATATGTATTTTATGTAGATTAAATAACTTTTTACGCGTCAGTTCCTTAGGTTACACTCAAATTCGCCTACCTTTCCAGTCCAAACCGAAAACTCGCCACGGTTGCAAAACTAATCGCCGTCGGCCGCGCAAATCAAAATAATTCTCAAATATTAGGCACTTCCGATCATATTCTACGACATGGCGCCCAACGTGGGGCTCGATTAGAACTCTCGATGTCTCCACCGAGGGCCCATGTCGATGTTATTAATCCAACCGATCATATTCCACGACAAAATATTCAAAATTTCCTCATATTGAATTTTGATTTATACTATTACTTTAAATACATTATCTGTAATGCATTTTAATAATTGTCTACCTATTTTGAAAATAGTAATGCTAATTATTATTATAATTAAATTCAATTTAAGGCTACGTACTTATTTTTCTCTATACTTATATGTACCACAGAATACATCTATACTGAAATGTATTGGACCACATGTACCTACTAATTTTATTACAGGCTTTATATGTGGTTGTAGGTAGTTACATAGGTCGGCATAAGGGTTTCGTATTCCTGTAGGCGACTTAAAATTAGTGCCCTAATTAAGAACCAGTTCGTCGTTAAATAACATAGCAAGCACAAAAACGATATTAGATATAACCTTTCTAATAATAGAAATCATTATTTTCACATGTAAAAAAAGAAATAATAGATATTTATTTGATAATAAACTATTTGTTAGCAGGAGTGCTGTTTCCCATAATTAATATACTTTTCCATAAATATTATGACAAATTCTATAGAGGGTGTCCGGTAAGTACCTCTTAATCTCTCGGGANATTCCCGATACCGACATCAACTATCCGGAGAGGCCAGAGGGAAACGAGATCCGACGTCGACAGCGGTAAATGGTACTTTTTATTGGAAATTTTGGCGGACGATTCACGAGCTGTCCGCCAAACGTATGGAGATCGGAGAAAAGCAAGCTAACGTCTACTTCCGGCGTTCGCAGTACTTCAGTGGGAGTACATGGTGCGAAGAAAGCGATATACAGCTAAATGTAACAAATCTTATTCTATGGTAAATAACTTGTATATGTTAATTGTGAACCTTTATTGTCTCTTAATTATGTTCAATATATACTTTTAACATATCTTCCACGGTTTGATTGAAAAAACCCTGTCATCAAACTCAAGACCTTTTGCTGCCATTCCTCGACGCGGATATTTTTAGTGCCTAGCAACCACTACTCGCTTCACGAGACATACTACCCGAGGTAGCCTAGCCTGTGGTGAAGACCCTGTTCGATAGCCCCCTGCATCGAAACAGTGGTAAATTCCAGGATCCTTTTGAGACATGCGATACCGTCCGAGACTGACCACCTCCGACGAAGATCCTGTGCGATAGCCTCCTGCATCGACACAGTTATACCCAGGCTCCTCCAGAGACCTGCGTACCGCCTGAGGTGGCCCAACCTGAGGCGAAGATCCTGTTCGATAGCCCCCTGCATCGAACAGCGATACATTTCAGGCTCCTCCAGAGACCTGCATACCGTTCGAGGCTGAGAACCTCCGACGAAGACCTTGACTCCGATTGTGCCGGCTCCATCGAGAGATCCGCACCTGGGTACAGGGTACACACATAGGCTCCTACTCCATCATTCAGACTCTATTGAGATCTGCAAATCCGAGGCAACCTTCGTCGTCAAACCTCTAGGCGGTCACTCGTCGAGGCAACCTTCCTCGTCAAACCCCTACGAGGCATTTTCTTTGTAACCCATGGGCACAAAGTTATAGTACGCACGTTATTGTGGCGGCGTACTTCCAAATTTATCAGAAGTTGTCCTTGCTTCTAGGGCTCCCTCGAGAGACCCACATTTAAAGTAGAGTCAGTATTCTACAAGACTACTACAAGACTTTCGGAGCAAAAGAGCTTGCTCTGACATTGTCGTACGGGGTAAGATGTATCCCTGCGACGCGACTTCGATATCCAGTGCTACGAGGATTGGTGTCCTCGAAGGTACGACAAATAAATCAGATCGTGACAATATGATCAAGACTGAGCTGGACGAGACCTCGTCCCCACCCGAAGAGACCAGCGGTTACACGGACTGCCCTCACGCCTGTTTGCCGGTGAAAGATCTCCCGACACTCCGGGTGAAAGAGGAAATGGCCTCCTTCCCCAACGCTATCTCGATGTTGCGTGAAGAGTCTGAGGGACCGAAGGTGGTAGTTCGCGGAAGTACGCGGCACGGCGCTGCCACAGCGCCGTACGCGTTGAGGTCCGCTGCTACGCGGGTTACTGATACCACCTCGACCACCCCTCACGACGCACTCACCGAGTAGCACGGGTGCCATGGCAAGCGAAAACCCCTTAGCCGACTATGTCGTAGGTGACGTAGCCGGCTCTTTCTATCAAAGCAATTCTGGTACATCGCCCGTCCACTCTCATGATTTCCCCCGAACATTCGATCACCGTGGTCCCTATTTAGGAAGTCTAACCCGACACGGCGCTTAACGTGGGGCTCGGCATTCTTCGTCGAGATCTCCAACACGAGCTCATGTCCTAGACACCACGTCTGTAGGTCATATCCACCACAGACCACAATCACTTGAGAATCTACTGCGACCTGGCGTCCCTAGTGACGATCCATTTGAACTCCGTGCGTCTCTATCGCGGACCCAGGTCAAGAGAACCAATATCCCAGATCATCAGGTACGACATGGCGTCCAACGTGGGGCTCCCGATCTCACCACCGCGGACCCATGTCGATCAACGTATTGGTCATATTCCGCGACATGGCGCTCGACGTGGGGCTCGAAGTCCTGTTTCGACGTTTTCGCGGCGAGC